CTTCGGGACAAACATGGCTTAGTCTGACGAAAACTGGTCTAAAGCAACACTGTGGAACTTTTACCACCACATTTCTAGACTTTTACCACATTTTATGATACTGTTATGTTAAAGCCACAGTATGTAACTTTTTTGTAGCCATATAGACTCAAATAAAAGCATGTTTATTGCACTGGTAAAACTTAGGTCCTTCTCTGAGCGGACTTGCATCTCCATAAACCTGACTCTTACCTCCAGAAATATTGCAAACTGTACCTTTAAGGAGATTTGGAGAAATAAGTACTCAAGTTTGTCCTCTGCGTTTGACCCATCATTTAATGTTACTTTAATGCTTTCTATTAGAATATGTGATTGTGTGTCTGGTGCCCTCTGGTGGCAACAGTTGGGAGTGAAGCATTTTGAAGAAAGAAATTAGCAGCATGGCTAAAGTTGACCGTATTTTTTGGACTATAAGTCACACTTTTTTCATGGTTTGGGTGTTTCCTGCGACTTATACTCCGGTGCGACTTGTATATTAAAATTTTCAGACTGACTCTAGGCTTGTTTGTCAGTTTTCTGTGCATTTCTCCTGCAGAAAGAGCCTCTGTCCTGCTGCAAGTAGAGAAATATTCAGCTGAAAACAATAAACGAGCAGCAATGATAAAGTTTGGAGTGAGCGAGAAACTTGTGAGGGACTGGCGAAAAGCGGGGATGGAGAACACAGCTTCACGGCAGCTGGGAGGGTGCACCATGTAACTTTCTTGGAAGTCACTGGATTATACCATATTTCCGTTTGTGAAAACGGGGGGTCGGAGGTGGGGCCTCGACATTGAGCTACACTCACCTCGCAAACTGTGCACATGGCCTCCCACTTGTCTCGACGGGACAGAAAATGGGGAATTTCTTGTCCAAGTCGTTGTTAAATGCACATTTGCGCTTCGGCATGTCACAGGCTGACCTGAGTGACCGTGTCTGCTCGCTCCTTCTGAGTGCACAGAGAGCTATACGAGAGCCGCTCAATTTAATGGCCCAATGAAAGGTGATGAAAACCCGGACATATGCATCACTTTATGAAAAAAAACCCAGGCACCCAGGACAGGACACAAAAAACTGACATGTCCAGGGAAAAACGGACATTTGGTCAACCTACACTGGATGGATCGACAAAGCCTGGACTTTAGTGACAACCGAAGTTGTTCAGAAGTGACACCAAGGATGAAGAATTGAATGGATTTAGTGCTTTGGAGTAAGATGGAGAGTTTGGTAAACTTGTTCTGTTCTGTTGTTTATGCTCTAGTTATCTGAAGAAATGTGAAATATGTGATGTTAACATATTAACGCCTATTCAGCCGGTTGTTCTTTATTCTATTGTTATTACTAGAACTTAATAAACTGTCAGTTCCTGGTCCCTGATTTTATAAAATAAATTTCCCCCAAAAAGTGTGACTTATATGTTTTTTTCTTCTTCATTATGCATTTTTTGGCTGATGCGTCTAATACTGCAGAGCGACTTATAGTCCGAAAAATACAGTAAATATAACTGTTGCTTGGAGTTGATGGCATGTTTTTGTGTTAATTGATAATCACAGTTCACAGTTTCTTGTGAGAATATGAGTTTGCTGTTGTTCTTTCTTTAGATGCTAAAGAATATTAGATCATATACTGCATGTTGTGGCTAGAGTTCAAAAGTTGTCACAACACATTTTTATGACACCAGTTGTTGCTTGTCGATTTCCTGATGATTTTTGGTATTCTGTGGCCTTTGATTCTCTTCTTATACAGCAACCAGAAAATCTTGATATCAGTAGTGCTATGAATCAGGCAAATATCTGGAAATATCTGGAATGAACATGTCTAATTTAACATTGTGAGATAGGGCCAGCGCTTTGAGGAGGTCTGCGTTCTCCACTCAGATTCTAATGAGTTTTTACAGCCACTTTTTGAGTTAGTGAGACAGAAAGAAACATCTCTTGTGGATGAATAAAGCTTGTAATAAAGTTCCACAGTGTTGCTTTAACTTTCAAGTAAAACACTGGCTCAAACTCCAACTCTTTTGGCTGCACATTTGCATAGTATTTTCACACGATGAGGCCGGAGTCGTGTGGTGGATGTCAGACTTCTCTTCTTAGGCTTAAATTACTGGTTTTTCTTTACACCAACTTGACCCAGATTGGCGCATATTTTCGTGACCGCAAATTTTACGAGAGAGCCGTTTATGCTGAAGTGAGTGTAAAAACGCCAGGGCGGCCGGGAGGAGCTGTAAATCAGAGTTTGTGGTGGAAAAGTTTGGCAGCCATTTTGAATCATTACAACTCAATCCTCCAGCTTCACTGTGAGGTTAGTTCAAAGAGCGCAGGACATTTCGACGCTGGACAGAATGAACATGCATAGGAAAAAAAACATTTCGATCAAATCTCAGCAAATTCCACTGAAACTATATTTGAGGCATTAAAGGGCTCAAATTACACTATTCTCTGTTCTAATATGGTTTCTTCATCACAAACAGACCTGGAGCTGTGTTTTGTTTCATTCACATATATTTAACGCACATTTAACGCTTCTTATTTAAAGTGATTTCTTCTCTCAAACTCAAAACACCCCATTCCACCTTGTGATGTCATGCGGTAATAATACAAGAAGTGCTCCACTGTGTTTTTAAACTCCACACACCTTCACTAGAATCATTTGGACGTTTTCAAGCTTTATCAGTCTCTACTCAACTTAAAGGGACCATCTCATGCAGAATCAACTTTCAGAACTTTCTACCTTCTAAGAGTGATGTGTGGGCCTTGTATGTCGCTGAAGTGGTTTTTAGGTTGATTCTGTTTTTTTTTTGTTTTCACAAATTGCAGTGTATTTCTGCCACCCTCCCATGTGACAATGAACTAAAGCTGCTACAATGATGACGCGGAAGATACACCTATTAACGTAGCAGAAAGCGCTTCGCACCTGCCTCTCACCTGCCTCTCACCTGCCCCCCTCAGTGTATTGTTCTACACTACAGTGAACATGATATAATAAGTTGATCTACTAGTGTTTATTAATACTTTACCAATCAGTAATGTTCAGCTGATGTGGACGTGGTGCTTGAGCTTCGTGCTCCTCAAAGTCCTCGTCAGATTCCGGGTCCAACACATGCGGCTGAACGCGCTGTAACTCCATGATGAATAAAAGTTTATTCCTGCCTCTATCAGGGTCACGCCTGTCTCCCCCTCCCTCCCTGAGATGGGCGGAGGAAGGGCGGCTCACTCAGAGTCTACGTCACGTTTGGAGGGCGGAGCCTGTGCTTTCTCAGGACGGGCGGGGGGAGGAGCAATAGTCGGACTTTCATAGTTCCTGGTCTGTGACTGTCTCCAAGAAATCAGTAAGATTTCAGAACTATTGTGTAATGGATGTTCCAAAACCCAAACTGTGTTTGTTTATGTGCAGAAGATACAATGTGAAAAAAGTAATTTTACATCAGATGGGCCCTTTAAGATAAAAGGAGCTCTTCATTTGAAAAATACTTGTTCATGACATCACAAGGTAGAACAGAGCATTTTGAGCTTTGGAGATGTAGACAGACTAAGATTACATTTACACCGAAACGAATCACCGTATCACCATATCAGAAACAATCTACGTCCAGACACTTTGTTTCTGTGTCTGCAAGTCTTCCCTATCCACACAACTTTGAGCAGATTTGTTTACGTTTTACAGAAACTAAACTTAAAACCACATGACTCATTTGCATAAACTGAGTGTTCAAAAATAGTTTACTCTTGTGCACTGATGTGGTTCAGCTTCTGTCGGACTGAAGGACACGACTCAGTGGAATATGAGTGTTCTCTCTGTGACAGAGGGATTTTCTGCTGATGGTGAGTCTGTTCTGTTCTTCTATTGTATTGGAGATGATTCATGTTAAACTTTTCAGAGATTATACGGAGTGTTTATATGAATGGACATATATTTTAGCCTCTTAGTGTTTTGGAGCTGAATTACTTTGAACTACTCAGTGTTTTCAGGCGTCCACACAGTGCCGGATCAGATCTGTACTCAAAAAAATTCGTGGGAGCTGGAGGCACCAGATCGTTCCGTCTCTGGAGTCGGATTAGTGTGGACGAACACTGCATCCACAACGAAAACCACTCCACAGATAGATACTAATGTGGACGGTGCCTAATAATAAAGCTTTACTCAAACGTGTGAATGAAACAAAACACAACTCCAAGTCTGATTTTGATTAAGTAACAACATTATAAAATGACTTAATGTTCACAAGTCACTTTTCTGTATTATTGTACTTTTGTACACTGCCAAAGTACTGTACCGTTAGATTGGACTATTTTTTTTACCAGTTTTTGAATAAATAACTTTTTTTTTCATGGAATTTGTTGAGATTAACATTGAATATTTGTGGAAAAGTGCAACTGGACTGGACCCAGCTTCAAGTTCACCTCCTGGACCCAAATATAAAGCTTAAAGAGGGGGTATTACACTTCTAACTGCTCAAACATAATATATTCTGATCACCATGTTAACTTTTATTGTTTTGCTCTCCATGCTAAGTCACTCCCCCTTCAGAGCACTATCACAACACTGAAACTGCACATCACCTCAGGTTTGTCAAGTTGCTTTGTCCAGTTCTATCATGTTTTTGTATATTTATGGAGAACTGTCATGTGGGAGCATGGGTGACATATTGAAGGCTTGTGGGCGGAGCCTTGTACAGCCAACCATAACGAGGGTTTGAACAGAGCATGGATGACCTCTAAAACCTCTTCAGGCATGTTTGTGATGAGGGAACATTGTTATAACACAGCAGACTTCTCCAAAAAGTCAATTTCACATAATACCCCCTCTTTAATGACACATATTAAAGTGTGCATAGACTGGCCTCGCCCGCTTTCTGCTCACGCACGCCCCCTGTCTGTGGAATGCATGTCGAACAGCAGCTCAACGCACAAAAATATATTAAAACTCCTCTAGACTAAATCACTCTTAAATCTACGCTGCTTTTAGAAAATGACCAGTGACTACAGTTGAAACAGTTACACATGTACCTCACTGTGTGCCCAAACAAGACAACACAGGGCAAAACTCAAATGTCCGTAAGGCATTGAACGTTACATAGTACAAACAAAGGCCAGGACAAAATCATTCAAATGTATAAAATCATAAATGTACCATCATTATTTTAAGTTAAATAGAAAGACATGACTGGCTTGAAATGATGAGAACAAAAGAGGCAGGAGGATTTGGTAAAAGGTCTCTGAGATTCTAGAGGAGCTCTTATTGTGTTCATTACAGTAAAAATAGTCACAACTAAAGAAATGAAAGAAGCAGACGGGAGCAGTGTAAAGATGTTATATAGAAGATCACCACTTTTCCACATACGGACAAAGTTGAAGTCTTAAATTTGATTTCTGTCTTTATTTTTCAAATTCATAGAAGATTTTTTTTTTCTACATGGCAACAAAAATGTGAATCTGAAAACAATGTCAAATTTGTAATGGCAGATGTCACAAATTGCAAACAAAAAGTTCTGGTATGGTTATGGTTAATTTGAACTTTTGGACTGTTCTTTCTGTCTGTTCTTGGTTTTTGTTTGTTCTGAAAAACAAAAGGACAGAAGAGGATTTGGTAAAAGTGAGAATGTGTGATTCTGGAGCTGCATTTATTGTATTCTTTACAGAAAATTGAATAAATTAAGTAAAAAAATAAATGCAATTAAAGACGCACAAGGTCAAAAATAGTAAAGGCGTTATATTAAAACTTTCTTTGTTGAACTTTCACACATGAACTTAAGATTTTGTGCCATTTATGTACTATTAATGTAATAATTATAATAAATGGTATTGATTGTTTAAAATATATAATACTGACTTTGTAAATTAGTATTAATAGATAAGATTAACTGTAGACACAAAGGTTACAGTAAAACTTCATTACCACTGGGGTTTTAATTGTCCATATTCTAAATTTTGTATTTCATCTTTTTTATTCAACTTTTTTTTTTTACTATGAAATATTTTTCCTCCTAGTTTGTGATTCATTTTTTAGGAATGGGCTGCCTGAAAATGCAGCCAGTATTAATATTGCACAGACTGACGAGGAAAATGGAAAAAAAAGCCTAAAAATATTACTGTACGTTTACACATCATGATGGAAGAATTTTGTCAAGATTTTCTCATTATTTGTGAATTTTACTATCATTTGTGAACTTTATGACAATTTGTGAATTTTTACGATAATTAGTGAATTTATAATAATTAGTGAATTTTTACGATCATTTTAAAATTTTACAGTAATTCACAAATGTTATGATAATTCACAAATTTTACAATAATTTGTGAATTTCTACGATAATTTGTGAATTTTAAGGTAACTTAAAATGAATCTGTTGGCCTTGTTATGGATTTTAAAATCAGTAAATATCGGTTCTGCCAAATATTGGTCATCGTCCACAATAGTGAGACAAATATTGAAATTTGGGAATGGCTAAAAAACAACAGCAAAAAAGATCTACATCATAAAAGTATTTACTTAGTGACAAGAAAGCTTTTCTGATTCTATAGCAGATTTACTTTGTGGTTTTATATCACCCCACTGCAATGCTGCTCCTGTCTGCTCCTGTCTGCTCCTGTCTGCTCCTGTCTGCTCCTCCACAGACATGTCCAGACTCTATAACACCATCATAGTGACTCCTCCTCCTCCTCTTCCTCCTCCTCTTCCTCATAGACCTTTGACACCAAACCCTCTCTCTGCCCGTGTACTGCCCGAGGAGCTGGTCCCTTCAGCGCCCCCTGTTGTCCGCCACGGCTCAGCGCGCCTCGGGTTAAACTCTACACACCGCTAGGTCACATATCAACTCCAGAAGTCCAAACAGAAACAGTACCTTCAGTGTGAAAATGACCTTAAGAGTTCATGTCCTGCTACAGTGACCAGTTCAATCATTTGTCATTAATGAAGTGAAATTCAAGATTTTTGTCTGTAATTATAGCTGAAAATGATGGCAAAGAATCAAAACATCCACCATTGATTAGTGGGCAACACACTTAACTCTCATGCCAGCTGTGTTTTCCTGAATATTGTCATTTTGCTTTTTTGTTTTTGTTACCATCATGGTTTAGTTGCACTTTCAGGATGACAAGTTGTTTAATAACCTGAAGACTGATGGTTCAAATCCTGCTCCAATCAGGTCATACTATCATTTTGTCCATCCCTTGACAGTATATATAAGTGGACATAAATAACCCGCTGGCTGCCACGTTCCAAATAGGAAGTGAGCATCGACTCTGGCTCCAATTCACTTTCTATTGAAAAAACTTCACCCCTCTCTCCGTAACTGCTGCTGTGAGCTTTGTCATTTTGGTCTTAAAATTTTCATATTAACTCACTCTACATGATCCTGCTGTTTTTATTTTGCTTTTTTGTCCATAAATCAAGACATAAACATCAGGCTCCTTCTTCCCCCAGCTTGCTCCTGCTAGCGTGAGGATGGGCGTTACCTTCAACAGTCCCTCTCCTGATTGGCTCTTTGGCTGCTATGAATTACAGATACGTAACTTTTCTCCAGTGTGGGTGACGTCACACTCACTTAGTCCACTTTTTCATACAGTCTGTGGTCCTTGGGCAAGACTCTTAGCCCACCTTAACCTAACCACAGAGGAGTTCTTTCTATATGTACCGTATTTTTCGGACTACAAGTCACACTTTTTTCATGGTTTGGGTGTTTCCTGCGACTTACACTCCGGTGTGACTTATATATTAAAATTTTCAGACTGACAGCTACGAGAGGTTCTAGGCTCGTGTGTCAGTATCTAGGACTACTTTTACTCCTGTACCACTGTCACTTCAGGCTCTACTGCGCATGTCTCCTGTAGAAATAACCGCTGTCTCGCTGCAAATAGTGAAATATGCAGTTGAAAACGGTAATCACGCAGCAGAAAGAACATTTGAAGTGAGCTGTGATTGACTAGTGGAAAGCAGGGATGGAGAATACAGCTTCACGGCAACTGGGCGGGTGTGCTGTGCAACTTTCCTGGAAGTCACTGGATGAATCGACAAAGCCTGAACTTAAATGACAATCGAAACCATCCTGTCGGGATTCAGAAAGGTCGAAATAATTCTAACTGGAACTGATGCAGAGTCTGACGACAGGGACACAGAAGAGGAAGCGGTGCTCTGTTTACCTCATGGATCTATGGTTTATCTCTGGAGGTTGCGCAGAAGTGACACAGAGGATGAAGAATTCAATGGATTTAGTGATTTGTAGTGAGAACGTGAGTTTGGTAAACTTATGTTCTGTTATTTATGCTGTAATTATGTGAATAACTGTTCATATGTGACATTAACATATTAACGCCTGTTCAGTCTGTTGTTCTCTGTTATTACTATAACATGGCTTTCAAGATGAAATGTCAGTTAATGATCTCTGATTTTACAAAATACATTTCCCCAAAAAGTGCGACTTCTTCTTTATTGCGCATTTTTTGGCTGGTGCGACTTAAACTCCAGAGCGACTTGTAGTCTGGAAAATACGGTACCCTTTATTTTATTTCATTGTCTTTTATTGACCTTTATTTGTCAGTGATTTTACTATCGACAGAGCTGTGTGAGCAGAGCTCACTTTGGTCCATTTAAAATAATAATAATGGAGAATTATTACACCAAAAATCTTGAACTCACGTCTGTCGTTGAATGATGTGTTTTAGTTGATCTTTGAGACTTAAACTGTTAATATATCTATAAAATCCATTCATATGTGAGGTATTGCGTTCTCCTGTACCAGATTCTGTTTTAAACCATAATCTGGCCACTGTATGACATCACAAAGTGGTAACTTCACCTCTAAAACATCTCCCCCACGCTGGCTGCATTCACACATAAACACTCCCGTACAATCCTGGAAATTTACCGGAAAACTGCCAGATCCGAAATGAAGGAAAATGTGTTCTGGCTTTGTTCACACACAGAGGTGGATAATACTCAACTACATTTACTTGAGTAACTTTGGAAAGAAATTGTACTTTTCAGAGAAGAAGTAGTAGTAGTAGAAGGTTTTTTTAATGGAAGTAACAGTACTCTTGATTGCTCCTAGTTTCGTTTTTTTCTCATTTTTGTGTCTGTTTCCTTTGAAAATACCAGATTGTGTGATTTTTAAATCTTTTTTAATCTTCAAGTTACATTAACCTCAAATTATAAATCCGATGTCACGTCCAGACAGTTTATCTTTAAAGGTGCACTATGTAACTTCTGAGGTAGATGGTCCACTACTTGCTTGTCTCCAGGGAGATGTTATTTCTTTGCCTGGAATGTTGCACAGTAGAGCATTAAACTATGGTATCTCGCATGTTTGTTAAATTTGAGTGTTTTATAGATAAAAAATACCATGTTTCCAGGCTTGCTTCTCCATAGATCTGACCATTAAGCAGTCTTCATTTTGATTACCAAGTTTATTTCTAAACTGCGGAAAAATTAAGGCAAAATAGTACCATCACCATGGAAACAAGCAGGTGGTCCGACCCTCCACCAGAAAAGTTAACCAGTGCACCTTTAAGTTACTCTTACTTAAGGAGTAGTTTTCCCAAATATTTTGTTTACTCTTTTCTTGGACCACTACTTTGTACTTCTACTTGAGTAATATTATTTTGACATAACGTTACTCTTACTTGAGTACAATTTCTGTCTTCTCTACCCACCTCTGTTCACTCATAACTCTGGAAGTTCTGGCAAAAAGCAGGAAAATTCCAGGATCAGACTCTATGTGTGAATGAAGCTCTGGAAAAACCTCTCTCACTTTTCCGATTTGCTGTTAACCTGTTGATGGCTGTTACAATTATTGAGTCCGCTTTGTATTTCTGACCCGAGACAGCATCCAATCTCTTCCAGAAGTCCTTGCACCTGTGTCCCAGCCTCTGTCACCCCCAAACACAAGCCCAGCCCCAGCAGACCCTCCTTACCCCCCTGACTCTTCTCCCACGGCACCTGCACGGATGAGTTCCTGGCCGGGCTCCCTTCTTTACTGCCCTGCCTGTGCAGCGCCCTCTCCTGGTAGGTGCGGGTGGTTTCTTTGGACAGGACCTTACGGCGCAGGACGCTGGTGGAGCCAGGCGCAGGGGGAGGGGCTTCCAGGGGCTCTGCATTGGGCTGTGGGTCTGATGAAGTCCTGGTTCGTCCTCCCAGCGTCGGAGAGGGGAGAGGGGAGGAGCTGACGGGGGAGGGGGGCGTGGCTCTGTGGTGCAGCATCGGGGAGTAGGAGTATCTGTCCTGGGGCTGGCGGCCGGTGGACAGACTGTCGTAGAAAGGAGGAGTTCGAGGAAGAGATCTGGAATAGTCCTGCAATAAAAAGAGGGCATTATTTTGTTATATTTGAATAATCAAATAAGAAAACAGTTCAGTAAAAGTTCCTCTTGCACTGGGATTGTCAGTGTAGCTGGGGGGATGGTCTGTAGTCAGTGGAGGCTGTGTCGAACAGTCCTGAGTTAGACATGGATCTCTAAAATGTCCTACATTTACAACACTTGATGTTCTTCTGCTTTATAAGGAGTCTCCAGGCCCGCCCAGAGACACAGCTCCTCCACTGCCCTGGTCTGCCCTGGAGCCTCCTCCCCCCTGTGGGACATGAACTCCTCTGAAAAGGACTGAGCTCTTCACACTATCACTGATGGAGTGCCCAGCCTTCTTGTGGTGGAAACTCATTTCAACTTATGCAGAAGATTATAAACATCTAGTTTGGTATATAATTGCTGTTAATATCAAATAAATCAAATTAAAAAAGCAACAGCTCAAGTAGGCGGCAAAACCTTCACCACAAACCTTACATACAAGTAGTCCATCTTTAAAATGACAGTAATCTTCAGTTCCTCACCTGTGCTCGAGAGACAGAGATCTTGATGGGGGAGGAGTGCGCCTGGACACTGGGGTTTGTGTTGGTGGTGGTGTTGGTGGTCTTGGAGGAGCTGGGGGGCTTCTTGGAGCTCTTCAGGCTGCTCTTGGTGGGCTGTCTGCGGGGAGAGGGCGGCAGGTGCTTCCCATGAACCGCACTGTCGTCCTGCCCCATGTTCCACCCGCCCTTGTCCTCCAGAGCGCCATCTGCAGGTCTGGAGTCACTGCACGTCTTTGGCTTCAGCTGCAACAGATACAAAGGAATTAAAAACAACTGCAGTAAGAAATACTTTTTTTTTTTTTTTAAATAACAGTCTAAATTGATAAATTGTATGTGAAATGACACTGAGCTTGTCTGTGGTTTTTGTGTGGGGCTCTGGGACTGAAGTGTAATTTCTCCATGTTTAGTTTTTATTATTCACCAAAAGTAGAGCTTTTGGTTGACAAAAACATCTACTAACCATAACCATAGTTTTAATTACATTTTAAAAGATTTTTTGTTTGTCAATAAAAATATAATATTGACAAAAATGATGACAAAATAAATCCGCTGCATGCTGTCTAGTGTTTTATTGTTTCATAATCATGTGCGTGGTTAGCATGCTAGTTGTTCTTGTTGTTCTTAGCTTTACTGTCACAGCAAAACTCTGCCCTGGTCTCTGAAAGCTGTGAAAAGTGCTTATAAACTCATGGCGGTGAATACTTGGGATGCTCAGAATGCATAAGGTAAGTGAGGTAGAACTTTGGAGCACTGCAAACTGTTCACAATGAGCTAGTTCCTTTAAGTCTCTTTTGCTTGAATTGCTAAATACATTTAAACCATGATAATAAACTTACAGGCCCGGTGTAGTCCAACTCCTCCATGGACCTGAAGAAGTCCAGACTCTTGGCAGCGCTCAGCTTGCCCTGCTCACCTACAGAGGTGGAGGTGGTGAGAGAGTCCAAGATCTCCTCCAGAAGGTTCATCTGCCCCGAGCTGGTGGAGTCTAGATCCAGGTCCAGAGACAGAGAGTCCTCACTGTCCTCTGTGTAGGAGCGCACGTCTGCACTGTCCTCTGAAGAGATCCTGGTTTGAAACAGAATTTTTTTAAAGGTTCTATATTACACAAAATTGTCTTTAAACCATGTTCTTAATGTTGTTACCTCTTCAAAAACAGACCTGGAGTTGTGTTTTGTTTCATTCCCACATGTTTGAGAAACTCGTTATTATTAGTCTGTCTACATCTCTAAGCTCAAAATGTTCTGTTCCACCTTGTGATGTCATGAAGTGGTAGTTTACTAATTAACAGCTCCCTTTTATGTTTTGTTTAGTGAAGATTGGAAATTCTGGGACTAAAATCATCCAAATGATTCTAGTGAAGGTGTGTGGAGTTTAAAAACACAGTGGACCTGTATTACCACATGACATCACAAGGTGGAATAGAGTGTTTTCTGTTTGAGAGAAGAACTAAAGAGCTTAAATGTGCAGGATTTGTGTATTAAATTTGTGTGAATGAAACAAAACACAACTGCAGAAACTAGTGTGACATGAGCCCTTTAACAGTGAGAGAAGATTAAGATAAGGAGCTCATCTTCCTGTTCTGGAAATGTAATTCTTCTACATTGCCTGTTTCAGAATGTTTAAAAGTTTGATGAAGGTTAAAACTATGGAACAATTGAATTCCACTTCCAAAGAATATGATAAAAGATGAACATAAAACATAGAAATATTTCTTTTTACATATGTCATATTATTAGTTTGGAAACATACTTTATTCTACTTTACATATTTGACAAACTTTATTCATTCTTTACTTGACATACTTTATTTACAGACTTTATTCTATTCAGTTCCAGAGTTAAAGAAGAAAAAGTTTCATTCACTTCAAGGTGCACTATGTCACTTTTGTGTTGGAGGGTCTGTCTCCATTTTTGTCTTCCTGATGATGTACAGTAAATGTTTTGCTTTAAATGTTTCTCAGTGTAGCATTAAATTTAATTATCTCCATGAAAACAAGCAGGAGATGCCACCAGACCAAGATACCGGTCAGATCTGTGTAGAGGAGGGCCCGCTGACTGCACATGTCTATATTCTTTGAACAATAAAAACACCCAGAACTGAATGAATGGTAGATGGATAAGTTTAATGCCACACTGTGAAACATTCCAGACAAAGCAATAAAATCTCCATGGAGACAAACATTTGACAGACCCTCTGCCAGAAAAGTTACACAATGCACCTTTAAGTAAAAAGTTGAGAAATTGTATTTTTAATAATAACATCACACTCTTGAACTTTTTGTTTTTTTGTTTGTTTGTTTTTTGTTTTGTTCTGTGTGTGATGTCTATAAAACCAAATGCATGTTGGATATTCATTCTCTGAACATTACAATACCTGAGACTTTTAATCATGACATGTTTGGAAAGTGTAAAGTTCAAGAAAAGTGGTCAGAAAAACCACAAGAGCTCGAGTGTATTCATGTGTCCACTTGGGGGCAGTAGAATCATAAGGAAACTCTCAAAGTCCCTTTAAAACCACTCATCTGAAGGACTTTCATGTAACAGTCAGTTCAACAAAAATACTTAACTAACTTACTGGCAGGGAGACTTTCAAAACAGAGCAACTGTTAAAGCATTTGAATAAAAAGACACAGACACAGAGATATCACATTTAAATTCGAGAAGAAGATGCAACTTTTTTGGTTGGGGGTGTGAAAATCTTTCATTCCCTTTCACCTAGTCTGGGATGTGGTGTGTTCTTCTATGCTGTTGTCTGTCACCTGCTTGATTCTTTACTCTGCCTGGAATGTTCCACAGTATGGCATTAAACATCTCTACCTTATATTTATTAAAGTACAGGTGGTTTTATATCAGAAAAACAGACATTGTGACTGTGAGCGGGGTCACTTCTCCACAGATCTGACCTGTAACTTGGTCTGGTTTGGTCCCCATGTAGATAGAAAGGTTTAATGCCATACTGCGAAACATTCCAGACAAAGCAATAACATTTCCATGAAGAAAAGCTTTTGACAAACCTTCACCAGAAAAGTTTTCATCCCATGTTGTTGTATGTGTGTGTGTGTGTTTCTCTATCTATGCATTCACTGCTTTTGCTTTAACCTCCGTTTAGTTACATTTTATTGAAATGACAATGAGAGACCTTTTAAAATATTCATACAACTAAAATACTTACAGATCAGTACTTGCTCATTTTCACACCACTATATTACTTATTTTCTATTTTATTTTGACATATTTGTACATACACATTTATATAATTATGCTTTCTTGACACCAATCTTTTTCTATCTTTTTTCTGCTTATTTAGAAATTATTATTACTATTTATATATATATATTTGTTTCTCTTTGTTATTCTATTATATTGTGATGTGTGAGCTACTGTGCCCAAGTCATTTCCCTTGTGGATCAATAAAGTTTGTCTAAGTCGAATTTGAAGTCTATACAGTAAATGTGTATGTTTCTCTGTTGTTTTCACACTAGTTTAAAGGTGCATTGTGTAACTTTTCTGGTGGAGGGTTCTTGCTTTGTCTGAAATGTTTCACAGTATGACATTAAACTTTTCAATCTTCATGGAGACCAAAAAAGAATAAGTTAGAGGTCAGATCTGTGGAGAGGCGACCCCGCTCACAGTCAGAAGATCTGTTTTTAGGGATTTTTGAGCGATAATAAAACACCCGTAATTGAGAAAATGTAAGATAGATCTGTTTAATGTCACACTGTGGAACATTCCAGACAGAGCAATGACATATCCATAGAAACAAGCGGACGGACCCCTAACCACAAAATTCTTCAGTGCACCTTTCATTTCAGTGTGAGTGAGTTATATAAGAGTGAGTTCGTACTTGCTGGCCGTATCGTCATCGTCCAGGCCGTAGCCCAGCTCCCGAGGGCCCACGCTCATAGGAGACTTGTTCAGACGTTGCTGTAAAAAAGAAATAATAAGTTAAAATAAATGAAAACTGTAAAATAACAGCTCAAATTCCATAGCTGATTGTCACTGAAATGCTAAAGCATACTATTGGTGTGTCCTTTGGCAAGGCACTTCACTCATCGGTGTACAATTGCAGTGTGTGAGACAGAATGGTCAAAGAGGCAGTTAGCATTGTTACCAGGGCAACCGTGGCATATTATATTATTTTAACACGATCAAATATGAGAAATTAAAGAGGGTGTATTATACAAAATCGATTTCTTGAGCTTTCTCCAATGTTATAACGTTGTTCCTTCATCAAAAACACAACTGAACACGTTTTAGATGTTGTCCATGAATGTTTGAGTAATTTTGCGATCTCTCCCGGGCTCTGTTCACACTCTATTTATGGTGAGCTGGGCCCGGTCAAGCAGAAGTAAACAGCAAGGCCAAAAATTCCAGTTAATGCATCTGATATAAAAATGTATTGAACAGATACATATGTACTCTAGTTTATGAAACTGTTGACCTTTTTTCTGTACCATTTTTGGTTCTAAAGTTCCATGTTTTAAACAGACCATGTATGAAACATGGAACAAAAATTATTTCCCAAATTTCAAAGACCTGCAAGTCATGTCAATAAATGGATGTATTTCATCATATCTTGTGTTATTCCATCTTTGAACTGTTGATGAAGGTACAGGATTTAAAAAAAAAAAAGTATTTAAAATGATAAAAATTAGCTTGGAAGGACTGACATATTTTATAGAAATAGTTTCCTTTCATTTTGAAGTAATATTAAAGAATTTGGAAGAAAAAAGTTGACAAATGATGTAAAATCCTGCACCTTCTACTTGTTTGCACAATTTTCCCTCCGTTACTTTTCCCTCCGTTACCATGACCTTTCTTAATAAAAAATCTCATGAGTCAAAAAGTCAGAGGTTTTTCAACCTAATCTTGTACCATATGGTAGAAAACTATATGAAGCAAATATTCAAACCAGTTTGTTAAGGATATGGAAGTGAGAACCAAGAGTTATCACTGTTTGGATTTATTGCCCAAAAAGTGCTGCATATTTCATTCCCTCCGTTACCGACATGAGTTTTAAAAATTTTTGTCAACAACTTGAAAGAATATCACAGGTTTAACTTGACCCTGTTGGAGTGTAACTCTTTCCTACATTCTGATACTTTACTTATTTCAATAGTCCCTCTAGTTTCTGAATAAAGAGACATTTGAATGTCAAAAATCTGCCCCTGTTTCCCTCCGTTACCACTTGACCGGACCCAAATGTAAGATTCTGTACAAGGCTCCACCCACAAGCCTATGTCGCCCATGCTCCCACACGACAATTCTGCATAAAACAACAACAACAACAACAACAACAAAACATGATACAAAACTGTTCATTGCAACTTGACAAACCTGATGTGACGTGCGGTAGTTTCATACTGATTGTGTTGTGATAGCGCTCTGAAGGGGGTGTGAGTTAGCATGGAGAGCAATCTGAGGGGATTTTTCGTTCTATATAGCATTTTCAAAACAATAAAAAGTAACATGGTGTTATGTGTGAGCAGTTAATACCCCATAGAAGTGTAATAGTCCATCTTTAATCCATATTTGCCAGTTGTTCTCCAATGTTGTCACTTTCTTAGGCCAATTAAAATCCAAACTATTTTTATTATTCCGAAAAATACTCTTAGGAGAAAGCTGCTTAAAGCTCTGTGAATAGAAGCCGTTCTTAATTACGAAAGCGGTACCAGCCAGACACGGGGAAGGGGGGAAAGTGGCAGTACATCCATAAAAGTTTCGGGGGAGGAGCCGGGAGCGGAGTCCACTTAGAGGGCTTCGTTCCTGGGCTAAGCGTGACCACATGCGGGGGTAGCTCCAGGCAGTCGTAAAGGGTACGAGGGGAGAGGGGCTGGTGTCTCTAAACAGGATTTTAATAGATCCTGTGTCAGAACTGTAAATGTGAGGGACAGAGCAGCTGAGGGACAGGCACCTGCATACGCCGAAAACCAAACACGACGAGACACTACGGCAATCTGACCATGTGTTAGAAGATAGAGAGAAGGTAAATGTTATTAGGCTCTTAAAAAGAACCTAATAAATTATCGTAAGACCAAATGAACCTCACTGGACTATTACAAGCAAGAAGGTACAAGAGGAAATCCAAAATGCAGCACATAACTTATTTCAATCACAATGTTACTTTGAAAATGTTAGACTCGCTTTGTTTTACTTTTGGTTTTTTCCGCTCTGGATTTGCATTCCATTTGCTCTCTGCACTAAGGCACTCCCCCTTCAGTCAGTGTGCACATGCAGGGCGTATGTTTTTCAGCACGATAACAACCAATATTTAAAAATATTAGAGGTGAGATGAGATACAATTTGCACGAGACGAGACACAAGACTAGATCTACAAGAACAAAACAAGATGAGGTTCTTACTTTATTTAGGCTTTAATAAATATACTGTGCAATTCAGTTCCCAGTTTTAGCCTCACTATTTTTATTTACTTTATTTAATGTTTCTGCTGATGCAAGATGCTGATTTCTGCAAATCTAACCACAAAGTTTGTAATTAAATATGTCTGAACCACAAGAAGATCACAAGAATGTCCTTAAGAACAGAGTGAGGCGGCTAACAGCGCTACATGTGCTAATAGAGCTACACGTGCTAACAGAGCTACACATGCTAACAGCGCTACACGTGCTAACAGAGCTACACATGCTAACAGTTACAGGTGCTAGCAGTGCTACTCGTGCTAACAGCGCTACACATGCTAACGCTGCTACACGTGCTAACTCCGCTACGCGTGCTAACAGAGCTACGCGTGCTAACGGCACTACACGTGCTAACGGCGCTACACGTGCTAACGGCACTACACGTGCTAACGGCGCTACGCGTGCTAACAGCACTACACGTGCTAACGGCGCGACACGTGTTAACAGAGCTACACGTGCTAACGGCGCTACACGTGCTAACAAAGCTACACGTGCTAACAGAGCTACACGTGCTAACGGTGCGACACGTGTTAACAGAGCTACGCGTGCAAACGGCGCTACACGTGCTAACAGAGCTACACGTGCTAACAGAGCTACACGTGCTAACAGAGCTACACGTGCTAACAGAGCTACACGTGCTAACAGAGCTACACGTGCTAACAGAGCTACACGTGCTAACAGAGCTACACGTGCTAACAGAGCTACACGTGCTAACGAGCTACACGTGCTAACAGAGCTACACGTGCTAAGCGCTCGTAAAGCGGGTGGTTTGGAGGTGAGTGGTGCACTGGGCCTCTCTGCTGTGATGAGGAGAGGTGTTTATTAAAGCAAGCTGAACCCGAGCTCCGGCCGCGCTCGCTCCCCCGCTCTGATCTCTGCAGCGTCCGAATGACAGGGGCGAGCGACAGGGGGGCAGGGCCGCTCCTGTCGCAATTTGTCATGTTCGCTGCAGCCCCAGGAACCGGCTATTTACAACAAGGAGCATTTTACGATTGGAAATTTGGAGCAGAGTCGCACTGAGGAGCCCTGACTGTTTTTTTTTCTCTGCCGTTTAAATGGAACATGCTGTTTTGATTTGGAGACGTGAGGGTCTAAGTATGTGACTCAGGACGCGCCGCTGCTGCTTAAAGAGCTGTCAAAGCCAACAACAAGAGCCAACCTGAAGGCTCTTTAGTGAAGAACAGCAGACGTGTGTTACAGGAAATGTTATGTGATCTTATAAATACTTAAAGATAAAATAAAGACACTGTGTAACTTTCTCAAGATGGGACATCACCTGTTTTATTTCCACGGAAATAAAAAGTTCAGAACATTCTCCTTGACCAAATAAGAGCCAGGCTGGAGGAGATCCAAACCCGCTCAGAGTAAGGACGCGTGGTGTTCTGTCTATAGTTTGGTTAAAAAGTTACATACTGTGGCTTTAAGAATATAAACAACAATAATGCATTAGTCTCATACAGTATGTTTGCATTTTTTCAATCCTATACATTAATAATTCACTCCACACTCCAAAAAATGTATGGTATTATTTTGGCCACAGCTGCCCTGGGACAGTCAATGTGAAGAGTCTTTAGTGAAGAACAGGAGACAAATGAGAGATCAAAAACACAAACAGATGTGTGTGTGTGTGTGTGTGTGCGTGTGTGTGTGTGTGTGTGTCTGTGTCTACTGAAATACTTAGGTGCATTGTGTAACTTTTCTGGTGCAGGGTCCGTCAAATGTTTTTTTTGATGGAGATGTTCTTGTTTTGTCTGGAATGTTTCACAGTATGGCTTTAAACCTTTCTATCTCCATGGAGACCAAACCAGACTCAGTTACAGGTCAGATCTGTGGAGAGGCGACCCCGCTCACAGTCAGAATGTCTGTTTTTCGAGGTATTTTTGAGGTTTAAAACCACCTGTAACTGAATAAATGTAAAGTAGATCTGTTTAATGTCACACTGTGGAACATTCCAGTGGCATCTCCATAGAAACAAGCAGGTGATGGACCCTAAACCAAACCTTTAATAAGAATAATAATGTATGAATCTTAAAGAGCACTTTTCCAAACACTCAAAGGTCCTTTACAGTTTGGTGCATTGTGTTTAAATCCATTTTGTCTTTTTCTTTACTACAAAACTCATCATTAAATCTTGGGTGGTTGTCATGGTGAGTTGGATTATCTAGATCTCCTCCAACTGACAAAAAAAAATCTTTGGGACATTGTTTTCCATAACTGCTGTGAGCTTCTGTCATCCATCCACTTCACACTCAGTCGAGGTAAGACTGTAGCCACGGCTGCCCTGGGACGGACTGACAGAAGCGAGGCTGCCAGTCTGCACCATCGACCCCTCCGCTAATCACTTACTGACATCACATTCATACTGGGCCAGGTGTCTTGCCTGAGGACACAACATTAGAGCTACTGCAGGTTTTCCCAGTGATCTCCCGTCCAGCCCCAGCCCCGTTTAGTTTAAGAAATTAGACGCTAACGGGGAATGTCAGGCTTTTATGGCCAATTATTTCT